CCTGCTCAGTTCTTTTGTTTAAATTGGAGATGTTTGGTTGAGCAGCAACCCATTCTGCTCCTCATCAACCCTTAGAAAATGAGGTGATGCAACTTAGCCCGTGTATTGGCCCACACATGGAACAGACTGGTTATGGTGGAAGCAGAGGTGTGCTGTGGACCGACACAGCAAGCTTGGTCTTCTATCTGCGGCAGCCCAAGGGTGAGTGTGTTGTACCAAGTTTCACTTTTTTGAAATCCCTGCCACTGTAAACAGATGAAACATGCTGTGAGCAGCAGTGCCTGAGAGACTGGTGAGGAGGCATCTTCCTGATTGTGCTGCAGGGAAACTCTGCACCAAAGCACACGTGTTTTGCACAAGCACGGGGCTACCTTTGTGCAATGTGTGGGCAGAAAAGGATTATTTTGGTCCCCATTTTTTTTAACATGCTTCAACTTACTGCTGGTAAAAGACTTGGAGTCAGATTTTCAGCTGCAGGACCAGTATGAAGAATATGTTAAGACTTCCTTTTAAGCAATTGCTCTATAAAATAATACATTTTTCCAGAGCATAGTGTGGTAGGAACCCCATCCTGCCAGTTTTAAGTGATTGTCTCTTTCTCTCCATGTTCTGTACCAAAAGGACCAAGCTTCTCTACACTGTGTAGGTCAATGGGTTCATCAGTGACTGGAGAATTCATTGTTTTATGCTAGTGTGGTGCAGTGGTTAATTACCTTCCCTGTTGTACATGCATTTCATGCTGGAGGTTTTCTCTCCCTACAGCTGGCTCAAAATTGGGATGGCAAGTCTTTGTTGTGAGGTAGGGCCTTTGATGAGACTGTGTTTCGTGCTCTTTTCTTCCTCCAGAGTGTGGTGGGCTTTTAAAGGCTGAAGTACGAACTAAGGAGCTGTATTCCCATGCTCAGTTTGGGGACAACAACTACCCAGGTCAAGCGAACTGTGAATGGGTGATTGTAGCTGAAGATGGTTATGGGGTTGAGCTGATATTCCAGACATTTGAGATCGAGGAGGAGGCTGACTGTGGGTACGACTACATGGAGATTTATGATGGTTACGACAGCACTGCACCCCGCCTGGGACGCTTCTGTGGCTCAGGGGTAAGCTGTGGTGGTGGTGATTTCATAGGCATAACTGGCGGTGGCAAGGAAGGGTACTCTCATACACTTTTTGGAGAGGGGCAGCTCTCACAAACTGGTGATGAGAATGCCTTGTGTGTTTGGGTTTTGCTGCTTCTCCTGTTGCTAAAGATCACAGCCATTTTATCTGAGGCACAGAGTTGGTCTGAAAACCTTGCTGACTGACTTCCCCGTGTTAGCCCAGGGCCACGTGCAGCAGCATGGAACTGCTATGCTGCTGTGCCCCTGCCCTGCCACAAAAGTGTTGTGTAAATGTTGGAAACAGCTTCCAAAGGCCAGTTTCATCCTCAGTCGCTTCCTGCCTGAAGCCAAGGCACATTGTGGCCGTGCTGTGGTGAGGGCGAAGGGTGGAGAGACTTGCAGAGCTGCTTGTTGACTCCAGGGTGGCGTGCTGTCTCCTAAACTGTTATCTATGTCCTCATTAAGAGGAGTGGCTCTGTTAGCATGAGCAATAGTCTGTGGGTATTTAAAACCAGAGATTCTATGTTTAATTTCTGTAGGACTTCAGCAATGAAGTGAAGAAGGTTCTTATTGCATTTAAAGAGAAACATCCAAGGAGGAGGTGTGTCAGAGCAGTCCTTGCAAACTGGGGAAATGGTCAGGAAAATAAACATAGCAGCTTGGTGTGAAGAAATTCAGAGCTGCAGGGTAGTAACCTACCTACCTGCACGCTGACAAATGGAGAATGGCTGAGAAAGTGTTGGTCCTGCAGAGAAGCACAGGGAGGTTGTAGCAGGTCACAACAGTGGGGGAGATAACCAGAGTTATGTAAGTGGCTAAGTTACTTTGCTGCTAATGAACCCTCAGAGGGCCTCAGCTGCCGAGCAGGGTCCAGTTTGGATTGTATCATTTCCTGAAAAGATTACGACAAATAAGAGAAAACTCAGAAGACCGGAACAAGAACATCCAGGGAGTCCTGTGAATGTGACCTACAAAAAACAACTGGAAGAACTGGGATTGTAGAGTGGGCTGTCATCAAACATAAAGGGCAAGCATGCAACGAGCAAGGGAATGTGCTCAGGAAGTCAGAGCAGGACATGAGGTACTGAGCACTCAACGTTTGTGTTCCCCGGCCAGTCTGTAAGCTTAAATTCTAACATCATAGCGCAGACAGTTCTTTAGCCTGCAGACTTGACCACTCTGTGCTGTCTTCTTTGCTTTTCTGCAGCCTCTGGAAGAAATCTACTCTGCAGGAGATTCCGTCATGATTCGATTCCACACAGATGACACCATCAACAAGAAAGGTTTTCACGCGCGATACATAAGTACCAAATTTCAGGATGCATTGCACATGAGAAAGTAGTTTGACTGCTCCTCACAGACATTCCCATCTGAAGACTGAGACATTTAACTGTGATCTTTGTCTTTTTTTTTTTTTTTTAAAAGCTTCTGTGCACCTGGCCAAAAGCAGTGTACAGTATTTTCTGTAACTAAAACTAAATCCAGTCTCAAAGGTTTGCCTCTGAAATTATTAGCATGACCCTTTCTTGTTAACATACCCAGGACCAAAAATTGTCTTCTAATCATACCTGCCAGGGCATAAACATTGTATTTTGCACAGCTTGCCATGGGGCTGAGTGAAGACTGAGATTGAATTGAGAAAAGCCTTCATCTCTTGCATATCCTATTTCTAGGTGACATTTCCTAATCATCCTGTGCACATGAGCTGTCTGAACACATTTTCTGGAGCAGATGATGTGGACAGCCACCCAGCAGGATTTTCTCAAAGGACCTTGGGAGCCACCCACTCTCCACTACTAGCCCAAAATACTCTGTGCAATAAGTGAACAACTAGATGGCTGAGACTCCATCACTCCTTCTGTCCCGTCTTTTTATTGTCTTGGTTATTGTGGGTTGGAAGGTAGGCAGGGCCACAGGGACACTCTCTTTAGGGCTGCTAAAGCAGTGATCACAGGGGATCACAGTGAACGAAAAGGGCCCGGTGCCTGATTTGCAGAAATTGTTGTGATATATGTTGCATGCAAGTGCTCTGATGCGGTGGCCAAGGGAGAGGTGGTGGCTGACAGGGAACTGCTGTGGTGGGATGCAAGGCATGACTGGTGTAATGGTGGCAAAGCCTAACAGCTGGAGTGCTGACAGCGTGCTCCAGTTACACCACCAGGCAAGGCAGCTCAGAGGGCTGTGGCAGCAGTCATGGCCTCATCTGAAATAAGGAATCTCTCCCTCCTCACTCCACCCATGTTTGCTTTCTCAGCCTTCTTTACGCTGCTTCCTGTCCTTAGTACCACTTCCGTATGAGCCCTTCCTTCCCACAGCTGAGCTGCTCTCCCCAGGGCTCCCCACCACAACCTCAGAGTTCTGTGCAACATCAGATAGCCAGAGCATCTCACTGAAGGAGACGCTGGGCCAGAGATAGTCAGGGTGTCCCTGAGGCAGAGGGACACAGGCCATGCTACAGGTCATCTCTGGTGAGCTCTGGGAACCTGTCAAGTGTGAAAGCTCCAGGCATGGGACTAGGAATGGGAGAGCTCTGCTGGTTTCTGCTTCCTCCCTGTTCCTCGCTGGCCCATGGCCCAGTGTCTTAATTTCATGGCAGGGGTGCAAGTGAGATGGTGACTTAAGCACTTTGAGCTATAAGGCTCAGACATGCTCTGTGTTGCAGTTATTTATGTACATGGAAGCTACCGAGCCATGGACTTGCAGAATTAACAGGTAGTTATTTGGGAAAAAGTAGGGAAAACTGTGCTTTTGGGGAACCACTGTAATTGAGCTGTTCATATGGGAAGGAAAAAAAAAAAGAAGAAGAAAAAAAAAAAGACTTTATTCTGAATGATATTTCATTAGGGCACTCATAGACAATTATGAGCTAAAAGCTGAGGTATGTTAGCTTTAACAAAGTATTTATAATCCAAGGATTACTATGTTTACATAACCAGTGTACTGTCGGGCTCCAGTGTGATACCTCCTCTCTGGTGTATGACCGTGGAGAAGCGTGGGGCCAGCGCCACTGTCGGGCACAAATGACATTCCTGGAGATGAGGGCTTCCAGGTGGATAATAAAGAGACCCAGCCCTCTCCAGAAGTCCTTGAACAGAATATGGTCCAAGTATTGTGAATACTAGGAGAAGCAAATGCATGAAAATATTTTCTTGCTTAGAACAAGAAAAATAAAGTAATTTATACACACACACACACAAAATTATATGTATATAAAATGTGCATGTAGAAGACCAGTAGTCAAAGCCTTAATAAGTGTCACGTGAAAAATACTGTACCATTGACTATAGCTTTATTGCAGGCTGTATAAAACCATGTTATTTCTGTTTTGGGTTTTTAGCTCTGTTTTGTTCCTCTTTTCAAATTTTATGGCCTTTTCACAGGCAAGACCTCTGATCTCAAGCTGTTTCACCATGCAGGTCTGGGGAAGTGAGCTCTGCTAGATGGAGTCTGTGTTTGTCCTTCTCTTCCATGCCCCCCTCAAATTGCAGTGACTCGGGTCTGGAAATAAAGTGTGACACTGATCCCTGTGAAACAG